TCACCTTCTTGTTTTTCAGAGACTTTCTGTGCAGCATGTCGCAGAACTGCACGGAGACCTTGCGATGAAGGTCGGGGCTCATCTCGTGAGGTAGCTTGGCCAAGGTAAACAGAGTCTGGAACATCTTATCCACGTTGTCGTTGCGCTTGGCGGAGATCTCGAAGTACGCGCACTTCTCGTCTCCGGCCACCAGCTGATCGATCTCCTCTTGCTGCACCTCCCGGTAAAACTCTCGGTCGCCCTTGTTGCCGCAGATGACCAGAGGCACGTCGATGTTCTCTTTGATCTTGTTTTTGAGGCACGACTTGGTCTCGAAAATCTGCCGCTTTAGCCGCTGCACCTCCTGGAAGGAGTCCCGGTTGTCCAGACTGAAGACGAGGATGAACACGTCACCTGGGGGGGACAGAGAGAAGAGAGCTTTGGTTAACTTGGCCGGCCTTGCATGCATGCTAAGAGTTCGAGACGCAACGTTCCTTTTTGCGCTGCGTCCATGCGTTAAAGGCGCACGTTGACCTCACGTTTGCACCATTTCAAATGCACTCTACAACTATTTTTCTTGCAATAAAACGCACAGAAACAAATGTGCATAAGTACCTGTCAGTATGGAAAGTCTCCTCATAGCGGGGAAAGGGTGGTTCCCCGACGTATCCAGTATGTCCAGCTGGTAGACGTCTCCCTTGATGCTGTACAGTTTCCTGTGAAAGTCCTCGATGGTCGGAGTGTACTGCTCGTCGAACCTCCCGTTGAGGAAACGGGAGACGATGGCTGTCTTCCCAACTTTGGTGGATCCCAAAATCACCATCCTGTAGCAGTTCTTTGCTGGGATGTCAAAGTCGCTGTCGGAAGGTGACATTTTCTTGATCATGATTCTGTGCGTAAAAAGCGGTCTCTCGGTGTGTGCAGATGCTGTCGGTGGCTCCGCTGTGGGCTTCTCTGTCTTCAGTCCGGACTGGACTCGTTTATTTAAAGGTCCCGGCGGCGCGCTCCTCCTCCCGCACTGCGTCACGGCTTGGTGAGTTGGAACTCGGAGCCTCATTGAGTGCTGGGAGAAGTGGGCCAATCTCAGACCCATGCGTCAGTTTGCCGTTTCTTACGAAGACGCAACGGGGACTGGCAGAACCATGCGGGAAACAATGTTATTAAATGTAATGGGACGGGGGGAGAGTGGCACACATTCAGCCGAGTAATGACTTCCAAAGAACTGTGAATGATTGACGCGTCTTCCGGCGTCTAAGCCGCTTGGCACATTGTTGACCATTGGGTTGACCTCTTGGACATTTCTTCATGATACACAACCTCTGCAGCGGATGTGAGTTCTTCCAGAACGAGTAAATGTGTTGCTAGTCCCTACAAAGTGTGGCTATTACATATACAGTTTTATTCCAACAAACAGTTGCCAATGTTTCCGCCCCCCCCGCCTGCAAAACTACACAGTGGGCACATATCTGCACGCCATATTCAGTGTATCCGCCACTATTGCATTGAATTGATTGAATTCACATCCTCAGTAATCGGCTGCTGCTCCGCGTCAACAGGCACGAGCTAAGCTCTTTTCAGTGCAGTTACCGAGGTGGCCATAAGGGGGCGCTCTAGATGCAATTGCAAATGTGGACAGCACGACCCACTTGAGGATGAAGACCCACCGTGGAGAAGCTTCGGGTGCGCGGGTGAGAATAAAAGCAGTTGGGTCTCTTTGTTTAGCTACCTTTGAAATATATATTTCTTTAATCTTAGCTGACAAACGCCATGAAACTCGCATCGGTCATGAATGGATTCACAGTAATTGCAAAATAAAAAGTAAAATGGAAAAAGATGTATTTTGTTTAAAGTGAATGAGAGGAAGCGGTTACCATGGCAACCTAGAGCCAGACAGCAGTCGATTTGAGCCTAAACCTGCTGCTTTAATTTGCACATTTATTCAGTCAAGTGGGAAGAACAACTTAGTATGTTAGGAGCATTATCTGAAAACGGGAGAACTCCAAGTACACTTTTAATTAATCAGTTCATAATGAGTGAATCCAAGGGTAACAGCCCAAATGTTTTGTCAAAAGCACTGAAGCACTTTGATGTTGCTATTATAATTACGCTATTCCCTAAAAGAAACAAATAGAAAAAGTTCTTCTGATATTCAATTAATTTTAGAGAAATAAAGACCATATTTACTTGGCTTGTCATGCAACTTAAGATGAGTAATATCACACTGGTTTTACCCTTAAATAAGTCCTCCTCTCCATGTGTTGTGCTGCGAGGTGAGTGGAGTGCATTGGAATGGAGGTCAGTTGTAAAACGTCTAGTGTGATGGAGGCTCTACAGAATTAATTTCTTCCTTTGCTATTTTGTTTTCCCAAATGATGTACAGTTTCTTAAGTATTTCATTATGAATTGCTTGAAAAATTGTGCATTTGACTGCTGTCAATAAGGGGAAATGACCTCACCAGGGGAGAAGGTAGAGATGAGTTGTAGGCCCTAGATTTTTGCTAAATGAACAGACAGCAGCGTTGTGTAGCAGTGGAAGTCTGGTTGAATCAGGAATCAGGAAACATTTATTGCCAAAATATGTCAAACATACAAGGAATTTGTCTTGGCGGTTGGTGCGTGACAGTAGACAGTGTAACAATAGACAACAAGACAGCAGTGCACAAGTAATAAAATTAAATAAAATAAAATGAAATGCTAATGCTAAGGGTTAGTATAAAATGAGAGAATAAAGTTAAAGTTACAAATATTTAAAAAGTTTTAAATATATAAAAAAAATAAAGTGCACTAGCGAACAAGTGACAAAATGACAAGTGACGACTAAGTGACGAGTGAAAAATGACAGGGGCAAAATAAGCAAAATGAGACACTCAACATGAATAAGACTTTTGCCCCTCCAAAGAAATGAGTAATGTTGGCAGACTAAAAAATAAAACCTTTGTGTAGTGATGTAACCATCCTCATATTAATAAACGAGATTACCAGTTTGGAAACCACTGTAACGCAGAAACGAGCCATGCTGATTCCAGAAGAAGGCTTTCGCCTCTGGCTTCCTCCGAAGAAACCCCCCCCCCCCCCCCCCCTGAGCTCCTGAGGTAATCAACAAGTGTGTTGTTGAGTCCGTGTCGGATCAGGTTCAGGCTGCTCCGCCTCGGGTACCAGAGGCGTCCTGCTGAGCTAAACAAGATGGCCACACTGACCCCCGGTGCCCCATGACCTGCTCATCAGTGTGGATTCCTTTTTAATGAGCCATGACACTTGTGTGCTTGTCTCAGGGGCACTTGCACAGTAAGAAGAGTGCCGTGTTCTCATTTGGGGAGAAAAGATTTCCACCAGCGTGTAGACTATTGTGAAGTTACATACACTGGAATGTAAAAGGGAAAAAAAGACAGTCCCATTCTGACCTCTTTTGGGACACAAAATAAAGGCACAGCATGGCCGCAATGGAGTATAGACGTGGCGTCTGTTTTCATAGAAATACACATTTGGTGTGCAGATCCAACCAGGAAGCAGATGTATCCTAAACCTTCCCGTAACAAGAACTCAACATTTAGGAAAAATGCCTTTTTGGGAGGAAAAGATCACGGTCTCTCACATATAGCTTAGCTAAGCATAAAGACTGGACAAAGGACCAAACAGAAACAGCCTGAAAGGGACCTCCAGGAAGCTGGTTCCAGCAGAAACACGTTGCTTCATCTCGATTGTTTTTTTACAGTACAATCTGTCATTCAAATGTTCTGGTTCATTCCTCATCCCGCTGCAGCATCTCCTCTCCCGTCTGTGTCGGGGTGGAGCTCTTCTTGCTACTAATTTCCCGATACTTGTGTACGTTTTTATATTGGTCAAAGCCAATCGGTTACCTTCCCAACATTAACATCTGCCACCTGGTTAAAAACCTGTTCCCCTGTACCGCCCTCCGATCACTGAAAGGACTGTAAAAAAGCCATAGTGCCGAGCCGAGCCGTACCATGCCAGGGAATCGTCAAAATCCTGTGTCCACAACAGCCGGAGTTTGCTCAAAAAAAGATTGCCGTCACCTTGTGACAAACAGCCACATATCGAGAAGCAAGAACAGGATCGGCTGTATGTCCTCCATTGTTGTTTGCGGTTAGCTTTCAGTTTTCGCGCGATCGAATGGCGTCAATCTACTTTCCGTCATATACCACGCCTATCAAGTGACGTTAGCACCACTTTCTGGAATACACCACGCCTATCAAGTAAGAGTACTGTTGGCGGTGGAAACGCTCGCCAAGTCATGGTTAACAGACCCGACCGGTACCATACCGCTCGGTGGAAACGCGCCATAACATTACCTCACCTTGAACTTTAACTGTAAAGTTTGGATGATACACTTGCACGTAGCTTTTTTACACATTGGATTAAATAAGTGTTTTTCTTTACACCTTTCTGACGCAAATGACCCCTCGGTGCGGATAAAAAAAAGAACAGAGCTGTGTTACAGGCCACTTATTCAGCTGAATTATTCGGTACTCTGAGGAGAATTCCTTCATAATGTCTGTGCTGAGGGTGTTTTTGAGACCTGTTGATGCCATAGAGACAGTAAAGCAGTGGCTTTAAGGTCCACTTTATTTCTTACTCATTTCATCAAGCTCTTTGTGCAGTCAACGTGCAGCCACATGAGCTTTCTTTCATCACATTGCATCGCACTGAGCAGGGAAATTGCAATACAGAAAGAGCGGAGACTAATCATAGAGTGTATGAGAGTGATGGCACACTGCAATAAGGACAAAAAATCAGTTTGAAAGCTTCAGATAAGATATGCTGGAATTGATTTTTTAGTTGACTGAGAGTGACAGGAGACTGAAACAAGAAACACTGAATTTAAGCAGATCTGAAGGTCAAAAAGCACAACCATGAACTTTAGATCATGACCCTCAAATTTGAGAATGCAGGCCACTCCGTAAAAAGTCGCCAACACTGACGGCCGGTCGCTCCCTCAGAAGCTGAAGAGACGATTGGACAGGCTGGTTAAAGTCCCGCGACAGCCAGACATGACAGATACATATTTTTTCTACATTCGATTTATTGATTGGGCTCCAGATTAAAAGGAGACAATCCTATTTGTTTAAATAGGATTACAAACCGTGGCGTTGATCACCAACCTCTCCCATGTGAATCTCGGGGGCCTGCAGTCACCAGGACAGATACAGCTGTCCACATATCCGTGACTCATTCAAAGAGAACATCTGAACGCAAAATGCCCTCACATCTGCCTGTTAAAGATACATCTGGCAAAGTGCAGCCTTAAGTGCTTCAATTAGTAGTCGTGGGACACACAGAGAGACATTACTGGTTTATTACATAACAAATATATCAACAGGCAGTGTGTGTTGTTAAGTTTGGAATGGTTTGCATAGGTACAGTTGTTGGTCCTCTGATATTTAAAAGGGTTTAGTTAGTTACCAAAAACGATGGGAGTATCGAAGGCTATGTGAGACACATTACGTTTCTCTTTTGACACAAAAGCTTTGCAGCACCACTCTTTTGGATATGGTTGTTCCGCTTTGAAAAAATTCCCTGGCACCTTTTGATCCGTAGAATCTATCACGGTATTTTGAATTAACACGCTCCTCATGTAGAGTTGTTTCATGAATTATAGAAGAGAATAAGTGGGAACGTGTGGCAGTGATGAACTGGTGAAAAAAACATTTTTGGACATGCACAACCTAACTTCCTAATATCCTGTCAAACCTTTTTAGCTTCCTTGCCAAGAGATGGATGAGAAGATTAATACCACCGGTTCAAGTAAGACGCTCGAGGATGTAAAGTCTGGAAAATGTAACTAATTCCAAGGTTCCATTCTTCCCTGTAGCTCTTCACAGTGCCTATGTTAAGCTAGGCTAACTTTTCTCAACTCATTCCTGAGTTCTAGCTTCCTATGTATCCTAATCATCTCATAGAATCTTTAGCAAGAAAGTACATCAGTTCTTTTTCTTTAAGCCTCCATTCTATGTATGTCATAATCACGCGAGGAAAATGGCTCAATGTAGCATCACATTAATTAGAAGAGCATGAAACAAAATCAAAAAATGCCTCTTGCAGCGGCAGTGTGAGCGCGGCCTGTGGATCCTCACTGCAGGTGGATTACTGATCACGTCCGTGAGTCCTCTGGTCTGTCAGCGACAGAAAGGGAATCCTCGGACCGACCCGGAGCAGGAAGGGATTATTCACGCTTGCGTCTCTGACTCCTCTCCTGATAGATCAGTTCAGTGAACGGTCTGTAAATACAACAGAACAAACAAATCATGGGGCAATAAATCAGGGACTTGAACGCCGTACCACTCTGTGCCAGGATCCGTTCTGTGTGTGATGAACCGTGAGGGAACCAGAGCGCATGTGTGTGTGTGAATGACAGGATGATCTCCACATGTTCCTCCACTCCACATGAATGCTCTGATGGTTTTACACCAATGAACCCCATGAATCAAACAGCTGTACCCAAGAAAACTTGGACAACTCAGACGGCCGCTGTCAGGACTCAAAGTAAAGTCATTACAAAAGTAACGCAGAGCGAAATGCTTCAGTTTTCTGAGCCTGTACGAGTGCGATATGAGACTACAGCACATACGGAGTGCAACACTTAGGGGAGGATAGGTCTCCCCCTGCTTGGGTTTTACCCGGGAAGCTGTTTCGGATCCAGTAAATTTGCTCATTTTATTTGAATAGAAGGGGCTGTTTTATTGTTTTGTGTATTTCACAGATTATTTAGTGCTTTAACACATACTGACAACTGCTGTGAAAGTGACAATTGGGACCTGCTCAGAAGATTTTGACAGACAAAGTTCATGCTGTCATGTTACGTTTCGCCCCACTCCTCTGTGTTACTTTTGGGAAACGTGTAATTACAATGAAGTAAAATCAAAAATCATTTTTAAATTAGTATGATTCACAAAACGTGGTCAGGACATCCACACTGATCTCTGTCACCCCAGGGAATGCTTACAGGCAATGTAGATGTTTCTCCAAATATCATTAAAGGCATATTAAGACTGATTCACAAATGGTCTTATAAATGGACATACTGGACATACCCTCCCAGAAGTCTCATTCAAGTTTATTTCCGGGCTCTATTATTAGATTATTATTATTGTTCGTTGTAAGCTTTCGCCGCTGTGTCTCACTCTGCATTGCGGGGGGTTGTGAGCTAGAGAAGCTGAACTCAATAGAAATAGATTCCAGTCGCAGCGAGGTTGCTGCATCAATGGCTGGGCTGCTTTTGCCCTTTTCAGTGACTGCGTGTGGCAATATCCATTCGGTTGCCCAGCTACACTTTCACCAGTTTAACTCAATTAGATTATTCAGTGTCTGTGCTAGAGGCGGTGGATAAATATACCAAAGTGTGCATCTTATCCCAGTCCCAGTTGGAGTTCATATCTGGCACCCGCCTTTCATTCAAGTCGCAGGCCTCAGGCTGAATGAAATGAACCCTTGCACTCTCACGCTCATTGGGTAATAATGTGTCACATTTTCAAAAAGGCCTGTTACGACAATTTAGCCTTTTCCTGTCTATTCCTGACGCAGTTTTGTCCTTTGACATGTTGAGCTCCTCCTCAGACACGTAATGAAACAAAAATAACCTTCAGGGCCCAGAATAGTAGATATGATTGGAAAAAACACCACAGTGCCATGTGTGTGTGTGTGTGTGTGTGTGTGTGTGTGTGTGTGTGAGCCTGCGTGTCAGACAGTCGGCCATTTTCTATCTATCTATCTATCTATCTATACTGCTGCTGCCGCTAAGACTTTGTTTGTGTATGAGTCCTCAACTTAATAGGTTGTGAAATATGGTGCGTTCAGGTGCATCCCTGTGCATCCGTTTCATGAGCTTTTATGACTCAAGTGAGTCGTTAGCCACACATGCAACACAAAGGACAGCTGCACACTAAACAGTTGTGTCTCTGTGACTTTAGAGGATGTTACATTGACTTATATCCACTTGTCTGAGGACTTACAGTAACCGCTACTTCATTAATCTAAACTTAACCTTATATATACATTCATTGTCATTTCATTGATTCACCAGATGCATTTGAAGACTTACCCCTCAAATCGTATGGCCATCTTGTAAACCACGGCCACTATGGCGGTCAGGACGAGACCGACAGGACTGGCCCCGCTGGGAGACATAGAGGGAGGCAGATGGAGGGGGTTATATTGAGTTAGCAACACCATGTGTGATGGAGATGTGAAGCACTAATCAGTGGTCCCCGCCTGATGTGAGGAGCTTAATGAGGAATAAATAGAGAGCGACTGAGAAAGGACAGCAGATCTTTTTAGATTTACATCTAAAATCATTGCCAAAACCTGACTCAAAATATACCACATTCAAGAGAAGGTCAAGACATATTTGGAGGATAGATTCAGTGAGTAAATGTGAAATTGTAAGGGAAACGTTGTACAAAAAAATAAGAATTAATAAAAAAGAAACGCAAATGGAGTTTAAAATCTGTTATAGGTCATGCTCGTGTACAAAATAAATCTAACACACTGACCTACATACACCTGATCAGAAGGTTGCACAGGGACACATGTTCATCTTGTCATAAAAGTGAAAGAACCCATTAAAAATCATGCTGTAACCCTTTCATCTAGAGCACACATGATGGTGGTAATGCGGCGGACATAATTACCAAAAGAAGAAAAAAAAAGAAAAGTGCTGTGCTATGAGCACTCATGTGGCGCAGCAGTGTGAGTAACAAAAGGCTCTTTATTCAACATTAAACCCAGGTTCAATATTTACATCACGTCTGCTCTGGTTGCTCTTTTTTTCCTCTATTGAAGCTTACAATTGCTAACCTTGAAATAACATAAATGTGAAGAAAGAAAGAATACCCAATGACTCAAAGCCAGAGACAAATTGCCTCTGCCTGCTGAGCTTGATGGGACTGTCCACCCTGACCTACATAATCGGGTGTTATGGAGGCACCAGCATACAGAGAAAGAAAAGTAGTTTCACACAGCACCTTTCTGGACTTTTTAAAGCCAATTAAATGGTAAATGGTAAATGGCCTGTACTTGTTTAGCGCTTTTCTAGTCTTGCGACCACTGAAAGCGCTTTAACACTACATGACATCATTCACCCATTCACACCAATTCATACACTGATGACAGGAGAACCATACACAGTGACACCTGCCCATCAGTAACTACCATTCACACACTGTAGTCGCAGCTACAGGAGCAATGTTGGGTTAAGTGTCTTGCCCAAGGACACAACGACATGCGGGTTAGCAGAGCCTGGGATCGAACCGACAACCCTCTGATTGGACGACGACCGTGCTCCCCACTCACCCACAGTCGCGATTAGGAAAGTATATGAAAGGCATCACCACAAAAGGTGTTCTTCCAATTTATAATCTCTTCTAAAAAAAGGTCTTCACACTGTAGCTTCCCTTTTGTCCGACCCAGAAGTTTCAAAAGAGAGATGACATGGCACGGCCAGGTTAACAATTTAAACCACCGGAAAACATGCTGTTCTGTTACATCAGAGGTGAAGCCGAGTCAAACCGACTCAACGAGGACATAAGCACTAATGACTTGTGTCTTCAATTGGACTTGAGCCTTTTATTTGTGCCTTCCTTTATCTTTAAGGCCAGTCCTTCACAGCACGTTGACCTTAAAAAATATGCAGTCGTCAACATAAACGCCATATTTTAGTATTTAAAATGTGTGTTTAGAATGACAGACTGAGACACAAACACAACTACTTTTGGTGGGGAGCACACTATGACTAGGACGTGACCCGGGAATTGCTTTGAGTAGCTCTGGGATGAACCGCACTAAAGCGTGCCCTGATGCAGTTCACCCAGTGGGAAGGTTTTATTTGAGTGTGGCCAGCGAAGCTGAGCTAAACTCCTTGTAATCTCACATACTACTTCTCTATTATTCTCCTTCTGTACAGAAGTTTGGCACGCATCTCCTCCCGCACCGTTGATCGGAATTGTCTCAAAATAGTCTCAAACTGTCGGTACCCATCGGGAATCGTGTGCTATTATGGGAATAAGAGAAATGACTTACGGTTTTCCCAATATTACATTACATTACAGGTCATTTAGCAGACGCTTTTATCCAAAGCGACTTACATTACACTTTAAACCCATGGCTTTTTCTTACATTTTTGCCAGGGGAGCAATTAGGGGTTAGGTGTCTTGCTCAGGGACACTTCGACATGGGACATGGGGCAGCCGGGAATCAGACCACCAACCTTGTGGACCTGTTACAATATAAGCACATTTTGAGCTCCATTGGAATGAATGGAGTACAATGTGTGTGGGTGTTAGATAACCCCCCCGTTTACTCTACTAGTGTAAGGTATGGCTGTTAGACCAGTGGTAAGGCATTCCGCTTTGGATGCGGAGGACCCGGGTACGAATCGATACGGTGGGGGGCTATAGCATGACGCTAACATGGCGCCAGCTAACATTGCACTAGTAATAAAAGGACCCAACTGCTGACAAGTGGCTAAAACAGCCAGCGAAAAATGGGTCATGTCTTTAGTTTGCTAGCTAGCCTTTGTGGCTAGTCTTCACTTTCCTGCTTGGCCGTTTCATGCACAGGCACCTGCCTGCAGTCTTGGCCACACTCCTAAAATTACTGCGGAATTTTCTAGTTAAATATTCAGTTATTTTAGCTAAAAATGAAAGTCGCCTTTCTGGCTGGCAACATCTTCTGACAGGATGCACTATGTGCGGGAAGGCCTGAATGCTCATTCTCCACCACTCGTAAGCCTAAAGAAAGTGGATTCTTGCAACCTGATTGGCCGAGAGGGGAACCCCTCCAAGCTGCTGCCGATTCTAAACCAGGAGTCCGTCCCGCCCCCCTACACAGCAGGTGATCTCAATAGGCCTTCAATCAACTCCGGGGAATTGTGACAAAGGAGATGACAACAAGTAGCACCTCATTAGGAACATACTAATAAGCACTCAAAAGGAAGTCAAGCTCAAATTGACGAAAAAAGGCATTAGTTTTGAAGATATTTGGTTTTGAATGAGTTTTGGACAAATTTAAATTTTAAAGACTAACAAATTAGCACTAGCACTTAAATTGTACTTATAATGGCACTTATCTATAGCAAATTGTAAATTGTCTTATTTGATGAAATTGCACTTGTTTCTTGCTCTTCTGAGTTTGTATCCTTATGGTTGAATGCACTTATTGTAAGTCTGTCACATTATGTAATGTAATGTATTGGTCCAGACCAACTCTCCTGTGGGAATGTACATATACTGGTAATCCATCCAATATCACACAACCAACCATGGTGGCTTCAATGTGTGAATCGGTCATATTCACTGCAGGCTCCTGTAATAAACACTAAACACCAAAGGCCGGCTTCTGCGTCGTTGCGTCGACGCACTCGTTTCAATTCATGGTTCTGAAAGTCTTGCGTGTGTTGCAGAGCAATTCACCTCCAGAACAACAGGCGGAGTAATGTGTTTTTGTTGAAGACGACCTAGAGAGTCACGTATTTGTGTGTGGAAGTCTTTGGTTTGTTTATTTATGTATCACAGACTTTATTGCCCCGTGCATCGACATTGCTGCTTTTCATCGTGGACACATTTGTCCCGTATTTTCCTCCACAACTTTGTGCACCTCTCGACCGGCAAACCGGCGTTTGCGGAGATCTCCCTCCGTGAATCCAACCCGCTTAAACAAGCCGCTTGTATAAGCGGTCATATTTGCGCATTTCTTCCGACAAAAGCTCTTAAATCTGAACCGTTCTCTCGTAAACATTCTTCGTTTTAATAATGGCGGTATCGGGCTATGAAAGCGGAAATGTGAGACTCCGTAAAGGATGTAGTTAGCAGACCAATCGCAGCCTTGTGCGCTGCGGGAGGCTTGCGTCGAAAGCGACACACGCAAGGACGCAAGGAGGTCTGAAAACGCAAGAAGAATAAACTAGGCTTAAGACTAAAATGTAGCCAGGTTCTAACAGCTGTTGCAAAACCAAAAGAATGAGCTAAAAGGTACTAAAACACGATCCGTCACCAACAGATATTTACACACACCTTTACGAACCGAGTCACCTGATCCAATGGGAAAGTTCTGATATTAGCGGTTTGTGAGCATGCACTGTGGTCTCACATTCAGCTGTGATGACGGCAACTTCCAATCTATTAAGAAGCACTGACATACTGTGCAAGTTTCAGCATATGTGTAATCATAATGATTACAGCCACGTCCAGCACAGAGTGAGTTTTAATGACAGAGCAATCAATTGAACAGCACTTCAAAGTTCTGCAATTCTCTCACCTATGACTGACAACAAATATATGGGGAAGTCAAGCAGTGACAAAGAAAGGTGGAGAACAAAGAAAGAAAGATATTAAATAATCATAAGCTAGAAACATAGACTGTCTAATTATGATTGAGTCTATGCAAAGAAAAAACAAAGAAAGGAAATATAGAATAGGGTAATTCAGAATACATTTCTTTTCAAATCGTTTTCTTGGTGATTGAGCAACAACTGTAGTTATGGAATACTGAGATTAACAAGTCGTTTATTATTGATTACCTGATACCCGAGTACCTGATACAAGAGAAATAGCAACATTTCAAACTTAATGTAATGTAATGTTGAACAGTGCACCAAATATTGTGGGAAATTAAAATATTCTACCATTGCCAAATACAGGAAAGATTATTTTTATATCAGTTGTCCATTTTCATCCATCATTCTGTTTTAAACAACTCGAACCGACCAGCCATTTGCTAATTGTTGTTCATTTTAAGACTTTTCTACAACGCTCAGCCGGTTTAACGCAGGTCTGCTGTTGCTAGAAATTTGACCCAGTTCTATTATTGCTATGAATAGATAAAAACGTTAGTCTTGAGTTCTTATGTAATATTGAAGAAGACATCGTTGTTCCAGGAGGGATGTTTTCCCAAGAAAAAAAAGTTTAGTTTTTTGAAATACAAGAATTAAAATTGCTTATACTCAAAAGTAATAAAAATGATAGCCGATTCTTCTACTTTGGATTTAGGTGCCACATGACCTGGCCTGAAACAGCCCAATGTAATCTAGAGATCTGGTGTTATATCATGTGTTGTTACAGTGTACAAGAAAAAACAAACCCGGACCCATACTTCCACCACAGGAGCAGTGATTATGGTGTAGCAAACACAGCCATGAATAATGCTTTGTCCAGGATTACTCAAGATATTTCAACCATAGTTTCACGGTTTAACAGGGATATACAGGTGCGATTTCTTTTACTTCTTTTTGCAATAATTTGATAATAAACTGTCATAGCCCGTGTTGATGCAAGATATGTATATCTAGCTGAATCGTTCAGGAAAATATATGTGTGCAACTCACTAGTCAGTTTGGTAACACAGGCCTTTTCAGGCCAACACGATATGTAAGCACACAACAAGGAACGGGGTCATGTAACATTTTTCACTTCCATCCATTGAGCAGCACGTGTTCCTTTTCATGTAACAATTGGGGAGCACGTGCATCAGCTAATCTCCTCTCCAGGTCGCGCATGGAGGCCAGAAAGTGGCATAATGTGTGGGTGAGAATGTCTGGCACAGCGAGGGGCTTGTGGGAGTGAGCAGGGTGTGACTGAGGAGCTTTTTTTAAAATTTGTTTCTGCAATGAGTGGGTTTTTTGTTTGCGAGAGGGTTAGACAGAGATGTTTGAGGACCTTTGAAGGATCTCTTGTTTTATTACATAAGTCTACCCAAACAAAGATGTTTGACAAAACATCACAATATTGTTACATTAAATCCCAACTTTTCAATTTGCAAGTTTTGAGAGAATAAGAACACAGGATGATTCAGGATGTGTGGTGTTGAGGATAATACCAATTACAGAATATTCCTGTAATTAGAATGTTAGAATTGTTTTGCCAAACACAAAGGTTTTCTACCAATACTACAGTATAGAGAATGTGTTTATAGGGCTCAGAATTTAGAACGTTCCAGAAAACAGGATTTCTTTAACAAACACATACAGTAGATGTTTTATGGCCTGTAAATGTGAAATAGTGACTCAAAAGATTAGGTTTCTTTTGCTGGCGAACGACCCTTTGGCCTCAGCCATTTAGGCAAGTAATCAAGATTCAAACATTGAATGAAAACAGCATTGAAAAAGTCTGAATGCTGCACGTTTATTGTCAGAATTGATTTTCCACCCAATCAACAGTTATATTTCGGCACTTGTTTCCTTGATACCTTTGGCTGTGCGCATCTAGCTCATCAAATAATAGTAATAAAACATTAAGACTGTCCAGTAAAATCCAAACACTTTTTGTTTTTTTCTTCATAAACTGTACAAACTTACTCTTATCAGTGGTTTGGCATTTTACATTCTTTACATTAGACCACAGTAAACTTAGTTGAATTTAATAAGTGACTTTTATAAATTACTTTTGTGCAACTTTCCACCACGGAGAAGATGTTAGAAAGCTTTGCAGAGCTCATGGGAACTGCCAAGTCAGATGATACCTCGGTGGGTTGCTGATAACTATCAACCTTCCACATACAAACAATCCATTGTTAGTAGGAAAAGTATTGATTCAAATGGTTTTAAGTCAACACGGATGAATTAACTCCTTAGTTACAAACTAATCCTATTTCATCTGCTGACCCTGTAATACAGTCAAAACCTCAGGAATAAAAAACAGGACGTGGAGCTTGATTTGACAATGGTTTGTTCATATTCAGAGAACCAAAGCATTAGGTGCAAAGTTGGGTCCAAAATGTAATTATCAAGGATCCATCCATCCATCCATCCATCCATCCATCCATTGTCAAACCGCTTATCCTGCACACAGGGTCGCGGGGGGGCTGGAGTCCATCCCAGCCAACTTCGGCCGATATAATTATCAAGGATCCACAATCCAATTAATTTAAAACCAAATAATAGCAAGAGCAACTTGAGTGATTATTGAGCACAAAAGACACATGTGGATGTTTGTCTGGGCCTGCATGCATTTTGTGTTACTGTTTGCCCCTGAGGATAACAACAAACATGGGATGGAGGGAGGAGGGAGAGTGAAGACAGCAGGACGGTTTGAGGCTCCAGCTGCTGTATCTCAACTGAGCAATAGAGGAGGAGAAAGACGGAGGTTTGATCACTCGCGGTGCTGAGGATACACGGCCCAAAGCGCACACATTTCAAAGCAGAAAGTGAGGCAAAATAGTCACAACAAAAAGGACTACAGAGGCACTATAATTTGGATGGAAATGAGGACCCTAATAGCTTGCTCGACAACCCTGCAGCGCTTTCATAGCAACTAGGCACACATGATTTAGTTGTCATAGAAACACACAGAAACGTTAACCTTCCCACCTTTTTCTAAAGGCAAGTGATTTGCATTTTGCAGAAAACAATATTTTCTGTTTGCAGTCTCATCATCCATGCCATCCTGCATGACAGCAGGCAGCAAGCTAATTTCATTTAGTTGAATTTCATGTGTTAACAACCCCTTGGGTTAGGGTTAAAACTATATATGCATGTCATACTATACCCGGAAAATATACCTTAATGTGTTGTATTAGACGTCTGCAGAGGCACTCAATTCAAATCGCATTCTTGTTGATCTCAGTCGTAAAAGTGACCTCTACTCCTTTTCCAGTTGCAAACACACAGAAACACAGCAAATATCAGAGAGTTAAATTGACTCTGTGTGATTCAATTTTAACTCTAAACTGGTGTTTATATATTTGATGTAACAATTGAACTCGGAATAAGTGTTACATACACTGTACGTTAAACCCAACACCAAGAAGTGTGTCACTGGTGTACAGGTACATTTCAAACCTATCAAAGAGTTAATTGTTGCAAATAAATCAGTGTTAAATACACTCTATGTAGAGTTAAAATACTAAATATTAATGTTAAATACACTCTATGTAGAGTTAAAAACCCTTGGATGTTTCGTACAATTTACTCTGTAACTACTTTTTGCAGTGGGATTTCAGCACTTTAACACTTTTGCCTAACTCTGGAAAAATAACTCTTAAGAGTTTTGCTGTGGACACACAAAGACAGTCACACACACTCACATAAGCGCCAGGCCCAGGTAGTTGGCAGTGCTGCCCCAGTACATTGGGTTCTCTGTGATGTTGAAGGGAAAGCCCGTCACCTTCTCATCCATCAGGATGCCAAAGTAATCACCTGGAAAACCATAAAATACACATACAGAGATGGTTAACAGGTGGAGATGATGAGATGTGACACAACATTCCAATTCATGAGTAAAATCCGTGTCACTTTTCACGGGCTTCTCCTTCAGTGATGCATTAGACCAATGCCAGTCCCAGCATGCACTGCTTTGTTATTTGCCACCAAACACCAGTTGATGAAGAGATATGGCCGGACAAGGATAAAATCTGTTGCCATAGTTACAACCTTGATGTCTCATTTTAAACTCATCATTTGGTCCACTTGTCACGCAACAATCATTTTTGACACTTTTCTGAGAAAACAGCGGAGCCTGAAGTCGAACCGAGGATCCACTGCCAGGGAGCATGACTTTGGCACCACACATCCTTGTTAACGCTCCACCCTCGGGCCGCCCCTCTGCCTCCCGGCTGCTACTGATGTCAACAATATGACCACATGGATATAACTCTGGAATGAAAGTTTCATTCCTACCCCCTGACTTGTAGAAACATTGAATTATTCTCCCTTTTTGTGTTAGAAATAGGATCGGTTAATAAAACAATGTTATCTCATTTTTTTCTCAGAGGAAAAAGGTTTAAGCCTTTGAGTCGGTGTTTCTCGGGGCAACAGTTGATGAACATTCGAAGAGCAGGCGTTGCTAGGGAAACTGTTGTCAACTTAGTGCTGCAGACTGGAGAGTATGTCACAAGTGCTCCTCACTCGCATGTCTCACACAACAGATTTACTCTCATTTCACTCTGTGCAATCTATTTATCTTTTCTCTTTAATAATTTGGTCCTTGAAAAAAAAAAAGGGGGCCTGAAGTTACGAATGGTTGAAATAACGTAGAATCAACGAGTGTTCAAATCACACACAGTATGAAGCAATGGCTAACAGCAGCCATTGGACCTGGGAAGTGATATACAAACTATTTGTCTCAATCACACCGTGTAAAACTCAAAACAAACACAATATGTTCTGTATACTGATACATAATCAAAAGTGAAGAGAGAGTAGAAGTCATTTTAGCAGTTTTTTGGGGAAACAATAAATGGAGTTAAAGCAAATGTGGGCTTTCTTGCGCAATTAGGTTCTTTAGCTCGCTGTAACCTCCGGCTATTGCTTGCTGTGTAAAACGTTCCCCAGATATTGTGTGTACAAAAACGCCCAAAGACATTTTAATCAACACATGCAATCACAAACACACACACACACACACACACACACACACACACACACACACACACACACACACACACACACACACACACACACACACACACACACACAGGTAAAATGGACGTGCTGAAATAGGCATGAGGCGGTGCTGGCTCTGTCAAAGGGAGCTGTTAAGGTCCAAGTTGTATAACAATTTGCATTATGCATGCTCATTAAAGCACCACAGCTGTGGAAGGATAGAAGAGATTATACGGGGGTTCGCTTGAGATAGAAAACACACTAACCTCATTTTTGATTTCAAACAAGTAGTTAGTTTGTGTTTGTTTATGTTTAGGTAGGAAACATGGAAATCTGACACATACAAAGCTTTAGTTTGTAAAATAAAATTTGTTAAAATGAATGAATGAAAGTACCTCGAAGATCCCTATATTGGAAACATATTGGAAAAGGCATATCCTCTGGGGAGCATGACTGCCAAACCAATAGTGTTAAGGTATCGCCCCAAATAATCTAGTAGTGTCAGAACTTCTCCCGTCAAATGAGGCTTGCAGTTCAACACAGGCAGATCTGATCGACATGAAGGAAACAAGTGCTCAATTTGCAACAACAACAACAACTTGTCCTATCCCCAGTTTTCTGGACTACTGTTATCTGGTACTGTGTTCATATGTCTCCTGGATACTTTGTCTGCCAATAACGGCTGCGGCTTCTCGTCAGTCACACTGTTGTCCTTGAAGAAAGAATGTACTAGATAGACTTTAACGTTGCTGCTCTACAATGTGGGAGGACGAAACATGCCAGCAGAGTCTCAACGATTGCTTTCCTTATTTTGCAGACAAAGTAGACGTCGGTTTGTACTCAATCACCCTCCTGCTGCCTCCAAAATGGACCAAAGCCATTACCATACAGCGATAGCCAAAGTTGACTCATAGTAATTACTGATCTAAAAACCACAGTTGGCCAAATGGTCATAATGGCAGTACTGTCATATTAATGCTCTCCTGGCATGTTTCCATCACCCTCTGGTACACTGCAGCCACAGCCAAGGGCAAGGTCAGGCTGCAGCGTGTCATCCGCTCTGCAGAGAGGGCGATCGGCTGCAATCTGCCGTCCCTGCAGGACTTGTTTGCCTCCAGGACTCTGAGGCGGGCAGGAAAGATTGTAGCCGACCCCTCTCACCCCGAACAAAAACTGTTTGTGTTGCTTCCATCTGGCAGAAGGCTGAGGTCCATCAGGACCAGGACCTCACGCCACACAAACAGTTATTTCCCGTCGGCAGTCGGGCTCATTAACAGAGCCCGGTCCCCCCCCTGACTGACCCTGTCATCCCTTTTTCCTCCGGTCACTCCCTTCACACTCCACATAAACGCACACTTGTCACTTTCACATACACTCACATCACAGTTATGTAAACTATGGTTATGTATTCGCCAGTGCGCTTTTTATGTTTAATTCTATATTCCTCTAGCTTATAGCCTTCAATTTTATACTGTAGATTTAAATAGTAAATGTGTAAAATTGATGTCATTTTTCCTGCACTGTGTTATTTTTCTTGTTGTCCACTGTCCAATGTTATTCACCAACCGCCATGTCAAATTCCTTGTATGTCTGACATACTTTGGCAATATATGTTCCCGATTCCTGATTTGAATTATTATCTTGGTGGCGACAAAATTAATGACAACAAACACGTTGGCCTTTGGAGGCAGATGCGAAGATTTTTGCATGTTCCGTTTGCAAAAGAATGAGCGAGCCTCGAAAAACTGGTACAAATGTGTCTGCAGTTGACAGAATATTGTACATACAATGTGTTTCACTCTGTACACATGACACCTTTTGTCGTTTTGTCTTCATTTTTTGCTTACCCAATATAATGGTTGAGGATTGTTTGTTGTACAGATTGCAAAGCGCTTATAAGCAAATTTGTGATATTGGGCCAATATCACAAAGTTCTCTCAAGATTGTTTCAAGTAAAATAACAAATATTTGGCTGAAGAAAATTGTTCTATTGTAGCATCCCATCCCTCTTCATTAGAAGGTAATTGAGATAAAAAACAACAACACTTTAACTTGCTTAAGAAAGTTAACAAAAAGAGCCCGAGATGTATTGAGCAAGTCCAGATAGTGGGTCGAGCTCCAACACTAGATCCTTCACTTTCCAATTATCTTATAAAACCTCTAACATCACACAAAATGTATACTATACAAGACAGAGCTGGTACTACTGTAGATTTCATCAAACTACTGCTATGCTAAAACGTAGCGTATCAGTGGATTACACCTTTTAATATTGTACACTTGTTTTGATACCCACCAAGGAAGGTTCCAGTGAATCCCAGAGCCAGGAAGCTGCTGACCACCAGCACCGTGCCCAGCACCATGAGGCCCGCGCCGGCATAGAAAACATCTGTCCTGTCCATCACCTCCCACTTGGCCTGGGCCTTCATCGCCACCGTCATACTGCGGAAAAATAACAGCCATCTTTAATTGTGCAGCGCATTACTGCACACTGATTATCGGTGCCAAGGGCATGGAACACCGTTGAAGCTTTACAGTAGATGAAGAAGAAGAAATCATAGGAAATGACTCAATGATGACAAAGAAAGAAATATGTATTGGGATACTGAAAATGAATACAACAAATAGAATAGCTCAACAGACCTTGCCAAATGAGTTTATCCGGAGAAGCCATTCAAACTGCCTACGTGTTTGTCATTGTACCCTTATTACTAAAGCACTGGAGACCACAAACGCACTCACTCAACACTCGACTGAAATACTGTGAGCTCTCCATGATCTTCACAAAATGGTCAATCGGAAATTGTAATAACTGGTTAATCATGTTTTCTTCACAAAGTTCTCTTTTTATTGGCTCTTCTTGTATAAAATCTGTATTTGTCACGGTGAGCTCCACTACAGGAGAGGAGCCTTGACACGCACTGAAGGTTCTTTGATGCTGTGAATGGATATGGACTTGTACCTGGATCGCACTTCTCTAGTCTACCGACCTCTCGACACGCTTTACAGTAATCCTATTGATCCGTTCATACCTATTCATACACAGCCTACACTTAAGGTTAAGTGTACTGATGCACAATGGGACTCTGAGCATAATGTTTACGTTAGCACGCAAGTTTACAATGCTTACGAGGTGATAATTAGAAGTTTTAAAGGGGCATTGCATGATTCGAAAGGTCTGGTAACCAGCAGTATCAGCAGAGTGGAGATTAGGAAGCGAGACGGACTCTGCACGCCATCGCTCCACCGTCTCTTTACCACAATAGTAAAGCTCCAAATGTCGGTATCCATGGTTGTACACTTCAGAGAGATTTGTTCATGAACCAAAAGATTTGAACAGAATATAATGTTGTCCTGATCAAAGCACTGGAAGAAAAAAAAAGTTGTCGTGGAACATTTGGGCGGTATTAGGGTTATTACTCTGTGACCATGACTGTTTAAATGACCAATGTCAAAATGACTTTAAAACTACATACAATAGTTGCTGAAGTATGTTGGTCCAGAAATAGGTGGCTGAAATAATGACAAACGATTCCTTCTGTCTCATTGAACATGGACTGCAAACATCAAATGGGCCACCGGAGTGCAGAGACACATTAACTCTCTGGGTTTTATCACGCTTGAATACCGTCACACTGGGATGAACTGACCATGACATCATTGCATGGAAACAAATCCACAGAGGGGTAAAGACTGATGAGCAATATAAGAGGGTTCGAGTCTCATCTTCATATTGTTCTTTAGGGTCACCAGGAGAATTTCACCAATTCACAGCCTCACTCATGTCGTCCACCTATGTTTGATTTTATACCTCAGAGTCGACTATCAATTTGTATTCTAGATCTGTCTCTTCCCTTCTCAAACATCTTCCAATGCGTCCACTGTCCGTGTGTGTGTCCCCTGTCAGCTGTGCTTTACACTACTCCCGGCATCGGATAAAAACCGCCGGCGGCGATGAGCGGTCTGAGGGTCGCTCGTTGCTCCAGTGTGGTCTCTGAGTGAAAGGCTTTTGGTTCTGTGTGCACTGTGCAATCGTACCATGTTTGGATGAAGAGTTTCTGAAAGGCTCAGGGTCTAAAACCATAAACCTTAAAAGGTGCTCGGTTCGGTTTGCGGTGTTTGTAAAAGATGGTCCTTACAGAGTGTTGACAGAGCCAAAGAATTTGCATTAAGATGTAACAATTGATTCACACCCTGGCGCATTTACAGAGGGATTTCCGTTTTGTCTGGTAGATCAGAGTAGCAGTACTTAAACGTGGTGGTGGTAAATAACAGCTCTGCCTTGTTTCAACACTGCTTGTATTTTGAGTGGACAGACATTGCATGCAGCTTTGCTCGTAAAGACTATCCTAACATATTGAAAACGGGGGAAAGCGACTGTCCACAAGTGATGACAGGATTTGTAATTGGCATTCATGGCTGTGTCCAATGACAGGCCTGCAGTACCATAGTTAACACCACTATAACTTACATATAATCCTCCTCCTCATCACTAAGGCCCTAGCTGCTCCTTACAAACTCTAGATTACATTGAAATGGGGTCATTTCCAATTATTGTCAATTATTGTGATTATTAATGATCAATATTACAATAATATTAAATTCATGAACATGCATTGATCTCTCTAGTTTTGGTGAATACTAATATTGGGTTGGATGACGTCATTATTGTTGTCAAGCCAACAGAGGCCCCTCCCTCCAGACCATGAGTGTATCATATGATATTATCTCCCACTCCCAAGGCAGGCGGTCTCCTCCTGCCCCCCTCCCTTGTTGTGAAGTTGTGAACTCAACCATTAGAATTAATACAGTGGAGCAGTTAGAGAGCTGTGTTGAGACAATCTGTTTGAATACTACATGACATATTGGGCTCCTTTAATCCATTTGACATTGGACATGACATAAATTCCTAAAATGGGGACAAACCTTTATGACCAGAGAGAACAGTTATTGTTTTGGATTCCTTGATTTTGTAAGTGGTAAAAAGTAGATAGACCACAGCATAATACAGTTGAGTGTCTGTGGAGATTTCCTGAATTATAATGGAACACACACACACACACACACAGGTACAGGCTTTGAGCTTTAATATACTCCGTACTGTCTCCACACGGTGACTTTCCTGCGGACAAAAATGGCTCCCGATTTAAAACAAGGTTAAAAAAAAACTGGGTTACGGGGTCCGTGCTGCGCATCGAATGGTGTGACGTGATGCGGCTTCTCGTTATGACACACAAAGATCGACCGCTGGGCGCTCTGCTAAGTGAGGTGGCTTGTGGAGGCACACTGCGGGGATTGTGATTGGAAAAGAGATGTGAAAGGCGGTCAGTGGGACGGAGATGTGGGAAGGAGGTCAGTGTGTGCGACTGTTAGCTAGACACACTGTTACAACTCCTGCCGATGTGGCACACTCTCTCACGCTTCTAGAACTAAAAGTGGTGTTTATTAATGCTTGGTTTTGAGGTAAAGTGGTGCAAATTCAAGGAGGGAGGGTTTGTATCAGAGTTGTTAATATAATTTCCGCTTCAAATCCTCATTTCACGTTGATTAGAAAGAGGGCCAAAAATGCAATGTTTCATGGGGACGGCTGCTCCGTCCTCCACCCAATTTCAGGAATCAGGAATCAGGAATCAGGAAACATTTATTTGCCAAAATATGTCAAACATACAAGGAATTTGTCTTGGCGGTTAGTACGCGACAGTAGACAGACAAGACAACAGTGCACAAGTAATAAAATAAAGTAGAATGAAATGCTAATGCAGTGGTTAGTAGAATAAGGCTAAGGCTATGGGTTAGTATAAAACAAGGGAATAAAGTTAAAAATGTTAAATATTAGAAAGTTAAAAAGAAAAATATTAAGCATAAAGTGCACTAACGAACAAGTAACAGACAAGTGACAAAGTGACGACAAAGTGATGAATTGCAGTTAAAGTGGCATGTGCAGTATGAGGGGGAGTGTTATAGTCAGTCAGTGGGGGACCGGGCTCTGTTGATGAGCCCTACTGATTTGTCCTAGTGGGAGCATGTAGATGTTGAATAAAGTCGGCCCTAAGATTGAACCTTGGGGGACTCCACACGTTACGTTGGTTGTTTCTGATACGAAGTCACCAATGGAAACAAAATAGTTCCTGTCTTGTAGATATGACCTGAACCAGCTTAAGACTGTGCCTGAGAGCCCCACCCAGTTTTCCAACTTGTCCAAAAGTATTGAGTGGTCGACAGTATCAAATGCAGCACTGAGGTCTAATAGCATTATGTGGTGGCGGGCGTGGTTTTGGCTCGTCTGCAGCGGGAGAGAGGGGGGAGTGGCTCAGGGAACGGTGCCAGGTGGGAGCAATTGGCATCAGCCAATTGAGCCAATAGCCAATTGACTGATGCCACTCTAACTTTGTGTTCATGTCTTTTTAAGAGCAGTGAGAGCGGCGACAAGGGAGAGACGAGGAAGACGCGGAGACCTCACTGCGCCGTGTGTGTGAAAACTATCCATTGTAAAATAAAGATCCATTGTATTGCAATCAACCCTGCCGAGTCGTGCTGTCTCTGCGCCCCGAGGACCTACATCCGTGACACATTAATATTGAAGTTTTGCCAGAGTCTGTGTTAAGACGGATGTCATTTACAACTTTAATAAGGGCCGTCTCGGTGCTATGGAGAGGTCGAAATCCTGACTGGAAATTGTAGTGGCAGCCAGTTGAAGCCAGGAAGTGATTAAGTTGTTGTAGGACAACTTTCTCAATTATTTTAGTTATGAAAGGTAGATTTGAAATTGGTCTGTAGTTGTTGATAATAGAGGCATCTAGGCTCCGCTTTTTTAAGGAGAGGTTTAATAACTGCAATTTTGAAAGCTTTTGGGAAATGGCCTGTCTGAATAGAGTTATTAACTATTTGCAATACGTCTGTTGCTAGGCAGTCAAAACCTCAGGCAGTCAAAAACATTCTTAAAGAAGTTGGTAGGTAGAGCATCAAGACAGCAGGTGGATGGTTTTAAATTTGTCACCGTTTCCACTAGAGTTTGAGAGTATATGGCTTGTCATCATTGCTGTGTTACTTTTGCCTAAATAGGGTGGTGATCCAACATTTTTGTTTGAGATATTAATGGCGCGTCTGATGCCTTCGATTTTATGTAATGTGATCAAGGTTAGGATGTAATCCCGGGGTGAGTCAACAGCCAAATTGTTGGGTTTTCACTTCCCGAAAGTCTCGTTGTCGTGGCATGAAGACACGGAGCAAATTAGGATCAAAGATAGATCAAGGAGGAGCACACGGTGGGGGGCAGAGAAACAGTATAAAAGAACGCATACTAGCCTACTATAACTAGTAGGCTAGACTATTGTAATGGTCTCCATGCAGGTCTTCCAAAAAAAAACTGTCAGGCAGCTCCAGCTTGTTCAGAACGCTGCTGCTAGAGTTCTAACAAAGACCAAAAAATGTGAGCACATTACACCAATTCTTAAATCCTTACATTGGCTCTCAGTATGTCAGAGAATTAATTTCAAAATCCTACTGCTCACATATAAATCACTACACTGATATGCTTCCACTACATAAGCCTTCAAGATCACTAAGATCTTCTGACACCAATCTGTTAGTGATTCCCAGAGTAAATACAAATCATGGGAAAGCATCATTTAGTTACTACCCAACAAACAGCTGGAATAAACTTCCTGAAGATTTAAGATTTAAGACATAAAAGAAAACTTTTATGTTCAGCTTCGCCTTCTGCTGAATTTTACCTACATTGCACTTTTAACCTCTGCCTTTAACAATTTCAATCAACAATTTAAATAAGATTTTAATTTATAATGTTATTTGCTGTTTTTAATTGTCTTTTAATTCCTGCATTTTATTTCACTTTATTGTATGAAATGTTATGATGTGAAGACTTTTTGAGTCTGCTTTGTGTATGAAAAGCGCTATACAAATAAACTTGCCTTGCCTTGCCATCAACGACCAGAAAAGAATAACGACGCTGCGTCGGCCCAATGATCATACCATATTTCATTATGAATTCTTTAACTCTGTATGTGCAATTGCGAGGAACCAGCAGTAAATCGTTTAATATGGTAGCTAATTAGAAAATGAATGTTTTAAACACTTATAAAAACCCTATTTTCAGTTTAACTACTGCTGTTGGGTCCAAATGATTTACACATGGATGAGGGTGACAGTACACATCTGTCCGCCTTGCATCAGTATCCATCTTGTGTCTTAATATGATTTAACGTGATCACATTCACATCTGGTTTGCTTGTCTAGCACGTGAGCAGTAGGCATGCTTCTGGAGTAGTTTCCAGCCATTGAAGGCATTTCTCAATAAGATTTTGGTATTTTCTTTTTTTAGTTTTTATTATTTCAACCTGGATGGAGTAGTAACATGTTAACATTTGACAAAGGAATTACTTGAGATGTCAATTCTCTTATCCCCTTAAGAGCATGACTGTAAATTAAACAGTTGATACAGTTAATAATAAAATAAAACCTGTTAACACACTTGGAGCTTTCCCGTAAAGCTTAATTATTATAGAACATAACCGGCATAGAGTATTGTTGCGTACATAGCAGATAGCAATGCGCTTTCTATATCCCCCCCATGTCTGTCGAGCATCCTGTACTAGTGGAGCTATAAAAAGACGGGGCTGTCAATGAGCGAATCAGCACGCCACTGAATCCATCAATGTACATGTAAGTCAATTAGGTGGACAATTAGGCAGCAGCACAATGAAGCTGTAAGGTAATCAGCGTGCTTGTCAACCAGTCCGTCCGTCCGTTCGTTGGAATTGGAAACAGTAATCGTGTCCGTGTAGGTGAGCCGTTATGGGAACCCAATGCGACATCGTGGCAGGAGACGTCCTTGCTGACGTGGTCCACTATGGCAACGCCTGGTCTTTGGCCAAACTTGTCTTTAACCACCCACACAAGTTCCATAACAAAGCGGCTTAGCTACTTTTCAATCAACCTTCGGGGGAACGAGGAGTAGCGGACACCAAACGGAACAACGACACTCTATACCGTCAGTGCAAAACAAATCAATACGAAAAAAATGACGAGCCTCTCGTCTGTCAGAAGCCAGGGAACCGTCACAACCCTCACACATGTTCATGGTCATTACCTATGACTTGCATGGATTGGAGTCAGACACAGTTTCTTTTAAATAAAATGAAATGTGTCCGTTAGATAGCAAGGATCGCTAATTAGCATTACCAAATTTTACGTTTACGCTTGATTTTTTTCCAATGGCAGCAGTGTACCGGTACTGCCTTGTCGATGGACCGGTTGATCGCAATCAACCTATTGGGCACCGCTGCTTTGTTGGGCAAATTTTAAATTTTTTAAATTTTAATATATTTTTTCCACATTACGTCCCATAAGATCGATTCATCCGCCATTTCAAAGACAGACTTTTCAGGAAAAACTATACAAATGGCAAAGAAGGGGTTGGCCGACTCCAACGGGCCGGTCAGAGGCACAGAGGTGCATTCCTTCACGTTGGACTGTGTAGGACATCACTGAAGACCTGGGTGTGAAATATAAGGCCTGCTGCCGGGTTTTTAGCATCAACAAGGAAGTACAAACAAAACTTCAGGCCTTTATTCTGTATTCTATATTGTGTCGGGCACAGGAGAGGGGGCTTTTAAAACTGCCCTATCTACTTTATTTACAACAAAGTGATAGGAAAAGTATTATAATTATATTAAGTATAAGTGCAATAAGTATATTTCAGGCTGCTAACAAACCAAGGCCAATTACATGCTCCAGGATCAGGGAGACCAATGGCAACCTTTGATCGTCATGCCTGCGGATGTGCAGGAAGCGCCACATAAGTACAACGTGGAGGTCTGGGGGAGAGAGCTGGGAAGGAGGCGATGATTCTACAGGATTAAAACCGAGAGCAACAGTGAGTGAACCATCTGTGTGTCTGTCAGAAGCAACGGGTCAGTCCATGTGTTTCTTATACAAGAAAGTTAACAAGCACACGCCTACTGTGTGTCACAGCGCCAATGTGGAGGGCCTTCCTAACTACTTTGCTTAGTTGATCAAAAATGCTTTTGGATTCATTTGAATTAACAAAAAGGGAGCTGAGGATGATGAGGATGAAAATGACTTGAATTGAGGAGGAGAGTGAGCGCTTCACCTGTGACTGCGGTACACGTTGAGCAGAATGATGACGAAGCCCAGGCAGTAACAGGCCAGGTAGGGGCTACCGAAGAGCTTGGAGAGAGAATGTGTACGATGCTCCCATCTGGCCACCTGACAAATGATAAAGAGACAGAAAGCAGAAGTCCTGAGATGAAGGCGGAATCCTTGTGACGTGCAGAAGGAAACGGCCCAGAAAGCCATGATGGAAAAGACCTCTTTTAGATCTATTTTGGACTCTCTTCTGCTGTGTGTGTACACACACAGATATAAAAAGGTATTTGGCTAGTCCTTGAATAATAATATTAATACATGTTATTTGTATAGTGTTTTTCACAGTACTCAAAGCCTAAAAAATAATATATTGGATGTTATGGCCCACTGAAACACGTCCAATCCCAAATACTTTCACGTACATATACAAGTTTAAAGAACAATTACAATTATGTGTTGATGCTTCAAGTGATTTAGCAATTCATTTAAAACCTGGAAACTTGACCTCGAAACAGTTGTAATGTTTTGAAACATTTTCCTTCTTTTTCTCTCACCCTGACGGAGGAGTATGTGATTAAGGCAGTAATTTCCGTTCCTTTCCTACTATTTGAAATTGCGAGAAACCATGTAATATCATATTCCAGGAACGACACAAGGCCTGCATTCACCTCTGTCATTTGAGTTTTCAGAGAAAAGTTAGTTTGTAACGCAGTGGTTAGTGTATTAACGTCTTCACCATTTTAAGAGTCGCTGAATCTGTTTTAGTACAAGCCAGAGAGTAAAACAGCAAGAGAGAAACACAGAGGGAAGCCTCCTGGTTTAGAAGATATTTCCATCCCGACAGCTCAGAATGCATCCAGAAGTTAACAAAGTGTCTGAGTCAAACTAGAGGATGCAAGAACTGATGAAGCTGTAAACCCGAACATGCTATTAGTTTGTGTCAAAAAACTTTTAACATTTTTGCAGGACTTTCATTTTTTGACGATTAAGTGGCGGGTGCTTCTGTTCTTAACGCTGCTCAGAAACCCCCGTGACCGAGACCCGGTGGAAATACCAAGGAAAGGAATAACTGCCTGTTTCAAAGGGTTCTTATTATGCCAGAGGTCATTCATACAGTGGTCATGGTCAGGTCATCAAAAATAAAAAATGGTCGCATGTCTCATGGTTTCTTTGGAGACTCATATCTCAAAATCAAAGTTTGCTTCATTGGATCCACAACATTCATACACAATTTTCCAATTCAGGGAGTCCAATATACAGATAAAAATACCACATTTTTATTGCATGTGTGGTTTTTTATTCATGTATATTGAGGTGAGAGGAACCTCTTCATGAATTTGCCATTTTTAAGATAATATTTACCCTCAGAGGAAACGCTCTGCTATTATTGTTCTTATTTGTGTACATCCCTCAGGTGGCTGGTACACAAGGGCTAATCAAATCATGCAGCTGTATTCTCGTATTCGCTGTAGCCTCTAATTGGTGTTTGTTCCCTGTACAGCTCTCCAAGTCGCACTTCACCCTCAAAATAGAAACTATTCAATTGCTTCTGCGACCTAACAAGTGTTTGAACCGTCTATCCGTACGGCCAACCCGTCCGTCACCAACCAAAATAATCGCTAGTCGACTCCAAATTATTGTGTACTTGGGCTGTAAAAGGACACGGATGTTGCCGTGGCAACACCATTACAATGCTCATGGGAAGGAAGACAGATTCAAGAAAATGCATGAAAGTGAAAGGAAGCAAACTGCGGTGTTTGACCATTAGTTGCTAAGCAGCCTGCCGCAGTGAGAGGAGGGTAGAGGCGGGGCTTAAAGGATAAACCCGAGGCCACTTAGTGGGACAAAACTACATCTTCAGGGTCATTTTCCCTCTTTCTCTGCCCCCCACGTGTCCTTGATCTATCTTTGATCCTAATTTGCTCCGTGTCTCCATGCCACAACAAGGAGACTTCCGGGAAGTGAAAACCCAACAATTTGGCTGTTGACTCACCCCGGGATTACATCCTAACCTTGATCACATTACAGTCTGACAGTATGATATGGTTGACTGCACTTAATGCTAGTCGCTTTCGATATGAGCGTCAGCTGAATGACATGTAATGTAAGGTAATGTAATGACAGGGGGTTGGCCTCGCAGGTAACACATTTGTGCGTAAAGATATGATAAGATGGCATTTTAATGTTGTCCCTGGGCATGTTAAATAATGATCCATTTCCAGAGAAATGTTGACGGATTAATTCTTCCGTTCAACAATGCAATGTATGAGTGAAGTTCTTCTGTGAAGTTGATGTTAGTACTGACAAGACAAGGAACACACTTTCAGTGATTTAGGTCAGAAATCACTTTGGTTCTGTCAACTCTGCCGTGTGCAGGAGATCTAAAATGAAAATAACCAAGGAAAGGTTCGCTATCTTTCTCCACTTCTCCACTTCTGTTTAGGTTCATGTGAGCGGGCTGCAGCAGTCTTAGGCCCGCCTCCCAATGCCCTCATTGGCTGCTGCCGCCCCCAAACCCAACCTTATCACCCCCCACAAAGTCCCATTATTTCCAAAGCATCCAAGTGTGCGACTAGTTTTAAAAGCATGTATGTTTACCTCCGAATCGCATATCGGTGGACTGGGGAGAATTGAGAGATTCAGCAGTCACATCACAGCTGGGTTGAGCATTATGTCAATGGTTCAATTAAACATTTAATTTCTGGTACTTTTATTCCTGTTTTGGTTTTGACCTAATAATTGCTGCATTAAGGGGTTTACATTTTTAATTTGTCCCTTACATTTCAATTTGTATCTACAAATCCATACTTTGAATATGCATGTATTTGTACATTTTATTGTTACAAAGTTAGGAAACAAATGCAGTAAGCCCTGCCACATGAAAGAAGGATCCCAGTCCTTTTCACACAGCTGAACTAAACACTGCTATCAGAGTGCTGCATGCAGACAAAGGGATGGGTTTGCATTTACTGTTTTCATGTCTTTTTCGCAGGAACACATCTTAAAACCGTGCGGAAAAAATATTACAACTCTCCCCCAACAGTCCACTTGAGCAGGCCATTTCTGCCACGATGTTCCATACTGAAGCAGCGGTGGGACTGCACACTCGTATCAATCTGGGGGTTTGAGTGAGTACACTAAAATTACTCAGACAGACTGCTGATGCTGTTATCAAATCATAAGTGAACCAAAGGAATAACAGAAAGCCAGGATGAGGGGGAGAAAACAGGCAGTGGCGCCCGCATGGCAGAACAAGCAGTCTCTCAAAGACAAATTCAATCAAGGCTTAGGTAACAGGCCATCAGCCCAAATAAGTCCCAGATGCAGGCACTTGACTGGGCATGAATGCAGGAAATAAGTAAGACATCTGAGGGGTGGGAACTCAGTGACACAAGCTGGAAAAAATAAAAAAGCTAAAGTCCCCCAGATGGTTCCATTAATTATATTTTAGGAATCAGGAATCAGGAAACATTTATTTGCCAAAATATGCCAAACATACAAGGAATTTGTCTTGGCGGTTAGTACGCGACAGTAGACAGACAAGACAACAGTGCACAAGTAATAAAATAAAGTAGAATGAAATGCTAATGCAGTGGGTTAGTAGAATACGGCTAAGGCTATGGGTTAGTATAAAACAAGGGAATAAAGTTAAAAAAATTTAAATATTAAAAAGTTAAAAAGAAAAATATTAAGCATAAAGTGCACTAACGAACAAGTAACAGACAAAGTGACAAGTGACAAAGTGATGAATTGCAGTTAAGTGGCATGTGCAGTATGAAGGGGAGTCACCGGTGGAGTGTTATAGTCAGTCAGTGGGGGACCGGGCTCTGTTGATGAGCCCGACTGCCGACGGGAAGAAAACTGTTCGTGTGGCGGGAGGTCTTAGTCCTGATGGACCTCAGCCTCCTGCCAGATGGAAGGGGCACAAACAGTTTTTGTCCGGGGTGGGAGGGGTCGGCCGCGATCTTTTTAGCTCGCTTCAGAGACCTGGAAGCGAACAAGTCCTGCAGGGACGGCAGATTGCAGCCGATCACCCTCTCTGCAGAGCGGATGACACGCTGCAGCCTGCCCTTGTCCTTGGCTGTGCCTGCAGCGTACCAGACGGTGATGGAGGAGCAGAGGATGGACTCGATGATGGCCGTGTAGAAGTGCACCATCATCGTCTTTGGCAGGTTGAATTTCTTCAGCTGCCTTTTAGTGGCAACTCACCACATTTTTTTGTTCCGCCACAGATTCAAAATGAACCAAAATGAAGTCTCCGCGCCACATAGTATCACAAAAGCCTGTGGAAAACATTACACACGTCTCCACACGGCGAGAACACACTTGTGTAACCAGTGTAAAAGCTCCAGCTTGGGATGTTATTCCATCCGCCCGCCTATCAACTGGCGCCCGCCTATCAACTGGCGGTCGATCTGTTGCACGCGGGCACCAAAACAGACACACACACACACACAAGAGCGTTAACGCAGGGATGTGTGTTGTTACGGAGTAACGAGGAGCAGGTACAACAAGAACATGGACGGATCACATGCACATCAGCGACACCCTGATTAAAAGCTTTTTAATTCAGAAAGCACTGATTGAATATATTCGGATTAATGGAGATTTTGTCAACAGCAGGTAATGGGAGAACATGCTCTTCCAAGTAAACTAATTTTTAGAGACTATAGACACATTTTAGAGAAAGATAGATCAAATTCAGGGGACAGGACACCTTATTTTTTAGCCCCCTCAGCAGTACGGCTGTAGCGATGGCAATGTGTTCTGTCAGTCCACCTCTTCAGTCCAGACTGAAACAGATGTCGGATGGATTACCGCGACATTTTGTAACACACATCCATGAAACAGAGGGTTAAACCATGGGCGCGACATTTTTGTGTCTTTCGTGATAACCAAACGTTTCAGCCGGTCGACCTTTCACCACCGTTTCAAGATCATTGAAGTTCCAATAGCTTGTTTTATGGCCATGCATGTACATCGCCGTATTAGCATTGTGATCATGTTAGCGCGCTGATGTTACCATTTAGCTCAAAGCATCACTGTGCGTGAGCCTGGTGGAGCTCCCAGTATGACTGAGGACCAGGCCCAACGCCACTGAGGAAAAGGGGAGCTGACGC